TCCCCCCCGGCGCCCGCCGGGCCAGCCTCTGAAACAGGACCGGCGGCCGGAACCCGAAGCCGCCGGGGTCGTAGCCCAGGGGGAGAAGGCGCGGGGTTTGACTCTGCTACTGCCCTACCTTTACGAGCTTATGGACCCGCCCCGGCTCCGGGAGAACTGGTCCCGCTACAGTACTGGCCGGTCTCAGAATCGGCGTGATCGCCGCCAAGAGAGGAATCTGACTAGGATTTTGGCCGCAGTAGTAGGTGAAGAAAGGGTAGAGAAAAGACAGTTAGGGCACCTGGGCAACAAAGCAAATAGACCCGTGGGCGGACAGAGACCACGACTTGAAAAGGACCAATGCGCATACTGCAAAGAGAAAGGACATTGGGCCAGAGAATGCCCCAAAAAGAAACAGAAGGGCCCTAAGGTACTGGCCCTTGAAGAAGATTAGGGGAGTCGGGGCTCGGTCCCCCTCCCCGAGCCCAGGGTAACTCTCTCTGTGGAGGGGAACCCCGTTGACTTCTTAGTGGACACTGGGGCTGAACACTCGGTCTTGACTGAACCATTAGGACAATTAGGATCAAGAAGGACTCTGGTCACAGGAGCCACTGGTAGTAAACTTTATCCCTGGACAACAAAAAGAAGTTTAAAAATAGGAAAAAGCCAAGTGACTCACTCTTTCCTTGTAATCCCTGAGTGCCCTGCACCGCTTCTGGGCAGGGACTTGCTGACTAAACTAAAGGCTCAGGTCCAGTTCACCTCGACAGGGCCGGAAGTCACCTGGGGGGAGACACCTATAGCATGTTTAGTCCTAAATCTAGAAGAAGAATATCGCCTCCATGAACCCAAGATTGAGAATTTGCCCTCTAAGGAATGGTTGGTAGCTTTTCCAGGAGTTTGGGCAGAGCAAGCGGGAATGGGACTGGCTAAGCGGGTACCGCCAGTGGTGGTCGAATTAAAAGCAGCTGCTACCCCCATCTCAGTCAGGCAGTACCCCATGACTCAGGAGGCTAAAGAAGGCATTCGACCACACATCCAGAGGCTGTTACAACAAGGTATACTGATTCATTGCCAGTCCCCCTAGAATACTCCCCTCTTGCCGGTACGTAAGCCTGGAACTAATGACTATCGACCTGTCCAGGACTTGAGAGAGGTCAACAAGCGGGTACTGGACATCCACCCGACAGTGCCCAATCCCTACAATTTGCTAAGTTCCCTGCCACCGGAGCGGTCCTGGTACACTGTTCTGGATTTAAAAGATGCTTTTTTCTGCCTCAGACTACATCCAAGTAGCCAACTCCTGTTTGCCTTCGAATGGCGGGACCCCGACGGAGGACACACCGGTCAGCTGACCTGGACCAGGCTTCCACAGGGATTTAAGAACTCGCCAACTCTCTTCGATGAAGCGCTCCACCGTGACCTTGCGCCCTTCAGGGCACGAAACCCCCAAATCTCTCTCTTACAGTATGTAGATGATTTGCTGCTTGCAGCCTCGACCTGGGAACTGTGCCTTAATGGGACCAAAGAGCTTCTAAAAGAATTGGGTGAGTTGGGGTACCGGGTGTCCGCAAAAAAGGCCCAATTATGCTGTCCAGAAGTTACCTACCTGGGATACACCCTCCGAGAAGGGAAGCGGTGGCTCACTGAAGCCCGAAAGAAAACTGTGATGCAGATCCCGACCCCCACCACTCCACGACAAGTACGTGAGTTTCTGGGAACGGTGGGCTTTTGTAGACTCTGGATACCAGGATTCGCCACTTTGGCGGCCCCTTTGTACCCTCTGACTAAAGACAAAGTCCCATTTACATGGAAAGAAGAACATCAGAAAGCCTTTGAAAAAATAAAGGCTGCCCTGCTCACAGCCCCTGCTTTGACTCTGCCAGACTTGACCAAAACTTTCACCTTATACGTTGATGAACGGGCTGGAATAGCTCGGGGAGTCCTGACTCAGGCCCTGGGTCCTTGGAAGCGGCCGGTGGCTTACTTGTCAAAGAAACTAGACCCGGTAGCCAGCGGTTGGCCCTCTTGTCTGAAAGCCATTGCCGCAGTAGCCTTGCTTGTCAAAGATGCTGACAAGCTGACCCTGGGTCAACATGTGACTATAATCGCCCCTCATGCCTTAGAGAGTATTGTACGGCAGCCCCCCCACCGCTGGATGATGGACTCTCGAATGACTCATTACCAGAGCTTGTTACTAACTGATCGAATAACTTTTGCTCCCCCTGCTATCCTCAACCCTGCCACCCTACTCCCTGAAGCAGATGACTCTACTCCTGTGCATCGATGCGCTGATATCCTGGCGGAGGAGACTGGAGTCAGAACGGACCTGACTGATCAACCTTGGCCAGGTGTGCCTAGCTGGTATACGGATGGCAGCAGCTTCGTGGTGGAAGGAAAAAGAAAAGCAGGAGCAGCGGTGGTAGATGGGAAACAGGTGCTGTGGGCCAGCAGCCTCCCAGAGGGGACGTCTGCTCAAAAAGCCGAACTTTTGGCACTAATTCAAGCTCTGCGCCTGGCAGAAGGTAAGGCTGTCAACATCTATACTGATAGCCGCTACGCCTTTGCTACCGCCCACATTCATGGAGCTATCTATAGGCAGAGGGGCCTACTCACGTCGGCAGGGAAAGATATTAAAAACAAAGAAGAAATCCTGGCTCTTCTAGAAGCCATACACCTACCCAAGAAATTGGCCATTGTCCATTGTCCAGGACATCAAAAGGGGACTGACCCAGTTACACGGGGAAACCAGATGGCAGATCAGACAGCCAAGCAAGCTGCCCATGGAACTACGGTGCTAATAGAAGAAATCAGAAATCACCCACCAGAGCCCCCGGAGCACACACATAAAGGCTGTGCCTTGACTGAAGATGGGCAAATTGTCTTACCAGCTAAAGAAGGGCAGGACTATGTAAAAAGGTTACATCAACTAACTCACCTCGGAACTGAAAAACTTAAACAACTAATTAAAAGTTCCAAATACTGTGTTCAAGACCTACACACCACAACAAAACAGGTAGTGGAGGCATGCCAAGCCTGTACTATGACCAATGCGGCCCGACCGTTCAAGGAGCCTGGAAAAAGAATGAGGGGAGACCGACCAGGAGTCTATTGGGAAGTAGACTTTACTGAAGTTAAGCCAGGAAAATATGGTAATAAATATCTTCTAGTTTTTATAGACACTTTTTCAGGATGGGTGGAAGCCTTTCCCACAAAATCTGAAACTGCTCAGATGGTGACCAAGAAGATACTAGAAGAAATTCTGCCCCCATTCTGGTTTCCCAAGGTAATCGGGTCTGATAACGGCCCAGCTTTTGTTGCCCAGGTAAGTCAAGAATTGGCCACTCAACTGGGGATTAATTGGAAATTACATTGTGCTTACAGACCCCAGAGCTCAGGACAGGTAGAAAGGATGAATAGAACTCTAAAAGAGACCCTTACTAAATTAGCTATTGAGACCGGCGGCAAGGACTGGGTGACCCTCCTCCCCTTTGCACTTCTTAGAGTCCGAAACTCGCCCGGGCGTTTCGGCCTCACCCCTTATGAAATCCTACATGGGGGACCGCCCCCCTTAACGGAGTCGTGCGGGATATTGGATCCTAGCACTTACTCCCCCTCCTCTTCTGCTTTATTTACTCACTTAAAGGCCTTAGAAGTTATTAAAACACAGATCTGGAGTCGAATTAAAGAAGCCTACGCTCCAGGAACCATCACGGTGCCCCACGGGTTCCAGGTCGGAGACTCAGTCCTGGTCAGACGACATCGCGCTGGCACGCTTGAGCCCCGGTGGAAGGGACCCTACCTGGTGCTGTTGACTACCCCCTCAGCAGTCAAGGTCGACGGGATTGCTGCCTGGGTCCATGCTTCCCATGTCAAGAAGACACCCAGTCAGGGCAAGAATAACCATGAAGAAAATTGGACAGTGGCAACCAGTGACAATCCTCTTAAGCTGCGCCTTCGCCGTAGCCCCAACCTTGGGTAATAACCCCCATGTCCCCCAAAAACTAACCTGGGAAGTGCTTAACGAAGAGGGCGACGTCGTATGGTCAACAACCGCAGTGCACCCCCTTTGGACTTGGTGGCCTGATCTTGCACCCGATGTCTGTAAGTTAGCAGCCGGCTCTATGGCTTGGGATCTTTCCAGTTACACTGACTTAGAAAAGCCACCCCCAGAAGAACAGTGTGTCCCTCATGGCATAGGGAGCACATTGGGGTGTTCAGGACAGTTTTTCCGAGCCAACCTACAGGCAGCAGACTTCTATGTCTGCCCCGGGCAGGGACAATCCAGAGAAATGAAGAGACGGTGCGGAGGAGCTGCAGACTATTTTTGTAATAAATGGGGATGTGAGACTACAGGAGAGGCCTACTGGAACCCTTCCTCCTCTTGGGATCTAATTATGGTTAAGAAGGGTCGTAAGCCAGAAGAGCCAGAAAAAGGAGAAAGAGATCCCTCCAAATACCCAGCTTATAGGACTGGGTGTGCCTCTGGAAGCTCGGATGGCCCTCAGGGGCCTTGCAAAAACAATTATTGTAACCCCTTAAATATCAGCTTTACCCCACAGGGAAAACAGGATCGTCAATGGGTAAGAGGAAATCGGTGGGGATGGAGAGTCTATACTGGCAGCGGGGACCCTGGATTCGTTTTTGTCATTAAGATAAAAATAGAAAGTCCACCCACACGACCCGTAGGCCCCAATTCGGTGCTTGATAACCCCATACCCAGGCCTGAGAGGCCTCCTCATCCCACCCTATCACCAAAGGAAGGCTCATATTCTCTCTGGACTGCACCCCCACGTGTCCCTATGGGGACTGAGCAGGTAAGAGTCCTACTTGGAGACTGCTCCACCACCACCTCCACACATTGGACACAGTAACCTACAAGACCCACTCAGCCACCCAAACTCATTGAACCTACTACCCTCTCCCTGGCCAAACATAGCCTGCAAGATCAGCAGATCCTAGAGGCACAAGAACCACTTGCACCAATTGGAAGAAGATCACCCAGAGGCAGAAATACTACTTGCACCAACTAGAACCAGAGTAGCACCCTCTCTAAGTGCCCTCTTTACCGTCATCAGGAGACCCTATAGTTACAATTGACATCTGCACCAGTTGGAATAACAGTCACAGGCAAAACCCACACCAGATGAATAAAAGCTTCCAGAGGCACAGACACAACCTACATCAGTTAGAAGAACAGGTCCCATAGGCATAAGTAAAGCCCATGACATCCTGAAGAACTGGAAGATATGGTGTATCAAGACATCCAACCCTCACAAAGCTCAGCTGAGAGAACCCCACTCAATCTGACAACTACCCAAGCACCTGAACCCTTACCACTTAGGCCAAAAGACAATAAAGGTGATAGAAATTAAAGGAACAAAAGACCCACCCAACAAAGATTTCACAAGAATCAACACTTGTACTTATCTATAATTATTCCAAGCCCAGATGGGTAGAAAACAGTGTAAGCATACATTCAAGAACTTCAAGAGCAATATGTCACAGCCAGAACCCAGTCATTCTACAAAAGCAAGACCTGAACATCCCAACAGAGATGAAACAGAAGAAAACGACCTTAAAATAGCTTTATGAAGATGATAGAGGCCATTAAAGAGGAAATGAGAAATTTCCTTAAAGAAATAGCAGAAAAGACAAACAAAAATTGGAAAAAAATCAACAAATCCCCTAAAGGAAGCCAAGAACAAACAAACAGGGGACATAAACAGTTCAAGACTTGAAAATTTAGAGTCAATAAAGAAAACACTAACTGAAGGAATTCTAGAAATGGAATGAGTGGGTAAATGAAGAGGAACTCCAGATGAAAGCATAACCAACAGAGTACAAGAGATGGAAGAGAGAATCTCAGGCATTGAAGATACTACAGTGTCATAGGGAACAGAATTGAACACAGGATATGGTTATTCATGGTATATTAATAAGAAATTCTCACACAAGAAGCTGATAACCAGATTGGCTCTCCTAGAAGTCCAGTCTCAGATGTCCTCTGAAAGCTGACTTTAACCCTGAAAGAGGGCGAGCGCCTCCTTCCCAGTTCTTTTATCCTATCCCTTCTGATACCTGTGAACATGCCCTACAATTCCCCCTTTAGTCTAAAAAACAGATTTAGACTTGAAACAAACTAAATTGTGTAAAAAATGTCTTAACATATCTAAGAGCATATATACATAGAAGATGAAAGATGATTCTGCACCAAACATTGTAAGCAGTAACACAGTAAGACGAATTGTGATATACAAATTATTCATATAAGTTACATCATATGAGGATCTATAGCAGTGTAAATTGTCTATAGTTAATAATCACTAAAGGTGAATCACAAGAAGATATACTAATTTACCTATATCTCATGCTAACCGTCTCTATCCCATCCAAACTCTAAACTCATCTGAAAGAGATGTCCAAGTCTGAACACCTCCTTCCAAACCCAACCCTAAACAATAGGAAACTAATCCTAAACAGGTGTACATTATCCTTTAGTGTCAACTGTAGGGAAAGGGGGGTGTAGTATTCTCAGAGTTACTTCCTACTTAAATGGGATGATGAATCTCATAGGATCCTGTAGGGAAAAAAAAATTTTAGAGTAGTGAAAGTCTTAAGTGGACTAACTACAACATTTGTACCCAGTCTGTGTTTGGCTGGAGATGCTTGATTGAAGTTCTTATCTTGATTAAGTTCTTATCTGAAGCTCTGGCCAGAGTGTAATTAGAATGTGCATCTTCTCAACTAGCTGTTCTAGAGTTGTCTAGAGCAAAGTAGTCTGAAACCAGTTTTAGAGTGGTGATTGACAGTTCAAATGTATCAAGTTGGATCCAGTGGAATTAATGAAATGAGGCCCCATTTTCTTTCTGGAAAGTTCAAAGATTGCTGTTAGGAAATTATTTGTTCATTGTGGGGGACTTAAACATTACTGCCATCCCAGAAATTCCAACTTTTATAGGTATGCATACCGGGAAGGGCAACAATAGGGAATATGATAATTATGAAGGAATTTAGACTTTCAGAGAAAGAACCAAGTATAGACAAATGATAATCCCTAGATTTTGTCTTCTTCTGTCTTACATCAATTGACTTCTTGATATAATACAGAAACTCTGAATTTTGTTTTAACAACATGTTTGGATTTAGAGGAGGAGATCCAAATCAAACTCTAAAGCCAGTGTTGGTTTAAGTGAATTGGGACTGAAGGGACCAGCTCCCCATTTTGGCAGCCATGACAGTAACACATGCTTACTATGACCTTGTCTTAGTCACTAAGGTCAGATGCCTGGCCCTTTCAGCAGCCATGACAGTAACATGTACTTTTCGGACCTTGCCTTGGTCACTAGAGGTTAGGTGCCTGCCTTGTGGCAAGGAACCAATCAGAAGTTAGCTGGTGGTGCTATGCTTTATGGCTCTGGTTGTTGCTTTATGCACAAATGCACAGCAATGACGCACAGAGCATAGCAACCACCCTGGGAGGGCCTATGGGCCATAACAACCAGTTGGCCAATCAACACAGGGCAAAGCCCTCCAAGCCTGGAGGCACAACAATCCTGAGCCTGTGCATACTCCTAGACACTCCCCTTACACTGCCCTACAAGATCTCTATGCAGCCCCTTAGAGCTGTCTTTGTTAGCCATCTGCCATGGTGGGCGGGTGAAAGACCCGAACAAACATGGGGTTAGCTTGTTAAACAACAATAAAGCCTCATGCAGTTTGCATCAAGCTTTCAAATCTGCCTGGTAATTGGGGTGACTGCGGTCCTGGCCTGAGACCCCGGAGGCCTGAGTTTTCCGGGGTCTAACAGGACTAGGTACTAGGAAGTAAGAGAAATAGATTCTTGTATAGAAATAGTTTTAACGTTTACTGCATGATAGATTCTCCTTTGTTTGATGGTTCCCTTTTGGTAGCTATCCTCTCTTATTTAAGTATCTACATGATCAGTGTCTTCTTGATTTTTGGACATGGGTTTTCCTGTGAAGACAAGAACAAAAAACTCCTCTTTCCTTTGTGAGGTTTCTATACAATTCGTGGGATTTACCTTGGTGGATGACCTGCCATTTCTCCTCATTGAGATGTTTCTCCCGTTTGACCCAAATCTTGATCGACTTTGATGGTATCCAAAGCTTTTCTTCTCCTGTGGAAACAAAGGCAAAATCTCTTCCGCAATGTAACATATATGTCCTGCTTTCATACTGAGGTAAATACATCTTTGCAGTACACTGGCTGATTCAGTTCCAGAAGTTTCTTTTTCTGTAGTCCAGTGTCTTTCTGAAGCTGTTTGTCCTTTATCATTAACATTAAGAAAGTTTAATGTTAATAAAACATTATGTAATCTGTGTTTGGGGGTCTTTGTTCCCCCTGCCTGTTTATGGAGGTTGTGGTTAGATTTCTCCTGTGGGATTGTGTGGTATACCAGTTACTTGCTTTATGTTATAATATTTGAAAAACTGTTCCAATTTGTTGGAGACATATTCTGGAGCATTGTCAGTTTTTATTTGTGCAGGTATACCCATAATGGCCATTACTTCTTGTAGGTGTGTGATAACAGAATCGGCTTTTTCAGAGCTAAGAGCAGTGGCCCATCGAAACCCTGAAAATGTGTCTATTGTATGGTGTGCATATTTTAAATTTCCAAATTCTGGAAAGTGAAACACATCCATTTGCCAAATTTCATTTCTATGTATACCCTTGGGATTACTGCCTGCTGGTAATAGAGATTAATTATAGAATGAACAGGTGGGGCAACTTCTTACTATCTCCTTGGCTTGTTGCCAAGTGAAGGACAAATCCTTTTATTTTAAACCTTTGCTTATTCACATGGTGTTTTTTAATGAAATTCTGAGGCTTCTAGCATGCTTCCTATTAATAAATGATCAATCTCATTATTGCCTTGTTCCAGAGGGCCTGGCATACCTGTATGGGATCTGATGTGTGTTATGTATATCGGAAGAGTCCTATTCCTGATTGTTTCTTGTAATTGTATAAACAATGAAGTTAATTCTGTATCATCAGGAATGAATTCAGCAGTCTCAATGTGTAAAATGACTCTTTCTGCATATTGAGAGTCAGAGACTATATTGAGTATCGTGGCCTGGCATGTCTCAGCACCAAATCACGGGAGCCACGAGGTTCGGGCTGAGTGGGGGAGTGTGGACTGGAAATTTCTAGCAACCCAACAGTGATAAAGACCAGACACAGGCATCCTGTCATCTTTAGAAGCTCTCAGTTCCATGCTGCAAAACTGGAGTCTTTCCTTTATTTAGCATCTTCCTTGCTGTAATCTGACCTTTCTTCCCTGACCCCGAGATCATTTCTCTCTTATATTCTTAGACCCTACTGTCTCTCCTCCAGTCGACCTCTCTGCTAGATACCTCCTCTCCATTTCCTCACTGTCAAGTAGATCTAGCCCTCTGCCCTGGTGCAGGCCTATTCAAATGCTTATTTCTGTAGAGATGCAAAACTAGGGGACATTCTCCACTGAGACTATGCCATCCAACAGCAAATCAGATAGCATCTGCAATACAATGCAGACTGGAGCTCCAGAAGTTTGGACCCCAAGGAATCCCCTAATAGAAATTTACTTGGCTCCCAACAATTGAGGGGCTTTGTAAAATACATAAGTACCATAAGAATGGCGTACAATTCTGCCTTTTGTACAGAGTTGTAAGGGCTTTGAACCACTTTACTTATG